ATCCCGGTAAAGACCGGCTTTTTGGAAGCGGCTTCCGCGGAAGACCGACGAGCGCGTCGGATACGTCGTTCCACGAGCTGGTGACGCGTCGGAGTGCTGGGTCCGATTTCTGAAAAACTGGACCTGATAGAAGAAATTTGTTAAGAAATTCGGTTTCAGCGCCCTCGGTTTACCCCAAAATAGCTATCACTTTCGTTGTGACGCGATTTTTTTTTTCGTCGGGCTTTGATTCTCATTGGCGTCAGGGGAGGCTGTAGGTTCTGTCGTCGTAGCGGTGGGAGAGTACCGCGGATATTCCATACGAGGATGCGTCGGTTGCCAGGAGTAAGGCCTTCGAAGGATCGGATGGTCCCAGCACTCTCAACGAGCACATTCCCGCTTTTATCGCCTTGGAAGCATTATCCATGTCTGGTGACCAAACGAAATATTTGTTCTCCGCCTTGAACGCTCTGTACTGCGGGTGCGCGATATCCGCCAGTTGCGGCGCGAAAGATGAATAGAACTGTATCGTTCCCATGAAGCTTCTCAGTTCCGACACTGATTTCGGAGTTGGAGCATTTTCGAAATCTTGTCATCACCCTTGTGAATTTCCTGGTGTTTCAGACGGAAACCGCAAAATTCGATGTCTACGATCACGACTTCGACTCCTTCAATCCCGGCAAGGATACCCTCAATGAACCCCTGCCAAATGGCTGGCGCGGATGCTAAACCATTGCACATCCGCTTGAAACGATACAGCCCCCGGTGCGTGTTCACGGTGATAAATTTGCGGTCTTCTCCTCGTATGACCATGTGAAGGAAAGCGTTCGTTCCCAATTTCGAGAAACGCTCCCCAACTCCGATATTGTCAAGAGCACGTCTCATGTTCTTCAGAGGGTGCTCATCGACGACCAGGATTCGGTTCCAGCCGACTTTGCAATCTCCGCATACTCTCGCTCTTTTCCTCACGTCTTGACCCCTCCCTCGGATCGCGATCACCACCGGATGAGCCCATTCACTAGCGTCTATTTTTTCGATGTTGTCGAATTTCTCCAAGTGGTCGAGCTGTCGAGCTCTTCGTCATCTAGAGGTGAAAGGGGGAACTGGCCTGGGGAATTGGCCGCGGTCGAAAGCATGATGGCCTTGGGTTCTCCCTTAAGTGTAGTGTGGCTTCGATGCTGCGAATTTCGCCGATTCCTTCCTGCGTGAGTTTGGGGTACTTCGGAAGGAGATTTTCGGCCTCTCTTCTGAAATCAGTCTTGTTGTGGTGGCAGTCGTCGAGTTCGAGAATATTCGCCTCAAACGTTCGCAAAAAAGATCTCCCGAATAGGGTAGGGAGTTTCGGTCGATGCACAAGGTAAAGCTCAAGGATGCGGGATTCGTTCCGATAGGTGACAGGAACGATAACATACGAGCAGGGTTCGGAAGTCTCCATCGTTGCCGTCCGGAGCTTAAGGTCTTCTAAAGTAGCTTTCCATCCGGAAATTGTTCTCAAAATTCGTGAAATTCCGTCGTCGATTGATAGGTTTTCTCGGCTATCTAGCCCACTAGCTCTGGCTGCGGTGAGCTCGAATCGATGCTGCGCTTGATACAACTGGGACAACGGCTAATAAAGACGAACACTGCTTGGTGTGAAATACCAATGGCTCCCCCCACTAGTACTGATCTTTATTATGCCTTATATAGTGCTGCAACGAAAGGGGCAAGTCAGTAAGCCGTCCACAGCAGTTATGACGGTCACTGAACTTACACTAAGTTACAGAATACTGAAGTCATTGTTCCAGCGTCCGGTCTGGACACCATGAGTCAACTCATGGTCATTAGAATTTTTCTGGGTAGCTACTTTATCCCATCATCGATATACCGCTCCCTGTGCCCAGTTCCATGGGCAGGTCTCGATCATATATGGACGCATTCACGATGATTGGCGATCTGTCGAGGCCTTCCACGTAGTCGAAAAGAACTTCTTCGAGGTGCTGCTGAGCTTGGGGTTTTCTGCATATGGAAGCGAGATGACCCTTCACTCCACATCGGTGACATTCCGATTTCACAGTGCAGGCGGGAGCCAAGTGGTCCGGATCGTCGCGTTGATAGCAGGTGAGGCCCTGTCTCTGATAGCGAGAACTTTATGAGAATCTTCTTCCACTCGAAGAGTATCGACTTCTGTTGCCGACTTGAACCTTATGGACATCCTCGGCTTCGACGATGTGCACCTGAGAATCTTGTAGTTTCGCCGATGCCTTCCTGGCCGGTTCACGACAACTCGGCCGCGGGGACAACTCGGCCGCGGGGACAACTCGGCCGTTACGACTACTCGGCCACCACGACAACTCGGCCGCTACGACTACTCGGCCACTACGACAACTCGGCCACGATGGAGGTTCAGCTGGTTTACCGTAGACTGGGGAACGAACTTCGAAGGGAGACTCGACTCGATTTGCTTGGAATCAGTGCCTCTCATGACTTCATAAGAAGCTGTCAATTATCTATTGAAGGTAGAGCGGTCACTTTCACAACGAAGTTCTGAGGATTCATCTCTCAAGGATTGATTTTGTACGTGTGGGCAACGCCTCTCATGGTCTCTGTTAAGGTATTCGTGTCCACATTTCCGAGGACGCGCAGAATCTTTTGGTCGTTCTCGACGTACTTATTCTTCTTGCCCTCCGAGGTATGCCCAGCTATGTATCGTTCCCAGTCGGCATCATGGTTCATGGTTCATGGTTTTATTGATCCATATGTTCCCGTGATACTATATCACAGGTTCATATCCCTTTTATCTCAGGGGCGATTTCTCAGCAGATCGGTCGGGTCTCCTTTTCCCATCGCTCTAGTAGTTCCTTGGTCTTTCGCAGCACTCCACGGTCCAGGAGCTCCTGGAGTCCCAATTTCTTACGGAGTTCCTCTTCATTGAAGTGATGTGGGGTGCATTCTAATAGCACGTGCTGGATACTTTCCTCCTCCATCCCACACCAACAGCAGTACGGGTGGATGTTTTGGAACTTACTGCGGTATTTCCGAGTCGGCAGCATCCCTGCTCTCGCTAGTGCGAGTAGGGTACTGCCTCTTCTATTGTTATACGTGCCGACTGCGGTCAGTCCTCGTCTCTCTTTATACATATTGTATATCTGTAGGCTTGGTTTCCGGGACATCCCTTCTCTCCATGCCTTGTCCTGCGTTTCCCGGACTTTTAAGTTCACTTCCTT